GCTGGTGGCAAAGTTATTTATTTTTCTGGTTAGTAATTTATCATACCCATCCCACCCCCTCCCCAAATAGAAAACAATACGACATAGGGCTTATCTTATTTATAATATAGGCCACACACGTGTGTTTGAAAATAAATATAAGCATTTTCATCATGGTTTTATTTATTACAAACATATTCTTTCACCATCAATACACATTTAGGCCCTTCTTTTAGAATTTTGTCAGAATTGATGAAAACTTCGTAAAATGTGCAATTTACAGAGGAAATTGGCCGTCACAAGAAATGCGCGCGAAGATTTGAGAATTTTGGACACTTTATCAAGGGGTGGGAAAGATTTTCTAAAGATAGATATTTTCCCCTTGTTCCCCTGGGGTTACGCCATCGGGCAGCATAGATCAAAGGAGTTATGACATTTTTTGAAGTGGAGAAGGGGTTGCAGAGTGTTGTGAGTCTGGTCATTATGATATCTTCCTCTTTTTCTTTTCCTTTTCTTTTCCTCTTCTTTCTCTTTCCCTCCCTCTCTCTCTTTCTTTTCTCTTATTATCCAGCCGGTACGCCAGCTTGGTCAGCCCGGTAAAAACCGTCAGGGGAGGGGCAGTCTGCCCCCCTGCCCCACGCCTGTTACGCCACTGGCTAACACGCTAATCACCCCAATGAAAAATATTTTTCTACGCCACTGATTGCTTCATTGTGGACGGCTGACTCTACTGAAAATTGTAGTAATTATTGTTTGCAAAGGGCAACATAGCATGATGTTGTGAGTCTCTCACTAACAATCACTTCTCTCACTTCAAGTATATTCCAATTATTTGGGTAGACTTCCCCTAACACATATCTTTAATTGTAACTACAAAGTTAAAAAATAATAGGCTTAAAATAAGGCAGGGAAAAAAAAAGAGTTTTCGGGAGAGTAATTTAAAGTAATTTATACTTTATACTGGTGAAAATGAATTGCTTTTTATTATGCAGGTATGTAAAGAACAAAGGATACAAAGGACTTTATAACAATAATTATTTTATATAATCTAAACATTTTATATACATTAATATATGATGTTATTTCATGACTATTTTATGGTGGTAAAGTAAACTAAGAATCAGTGGCGTAATGCCTATGCACTCTTGTGCGGCATCCGCAGTGCCCCCTAACCACACGGTCCTCGATCTAGCACCCTGACCCAAAAGGGCTTTGTTGATACATAACAGCATAACATGCATATTTTATTCAGTGGTGAATTAAAGAGGGCCCCCAAAATTTTTAAATTTTAAGTCTCTGAGTGCCATTTCCGGCCATTAAGAGGTGGCTTAATGAAAAAATGTTCTTTCCTCAGCCCCCAACTATCCTGGGGCTGAGGTGGTATTGACCCTTTATCAGTGAAAGTCTCTTCTTGGGCCTTGCTGGATTCACCACTCATATATCATTTATTTTGTCGTTTAAAACATTTAGAATGCAGTGACAAACATGAGGCATGTTGTGGCAAAATAGCTAAGTTGTAGCGAAAATTGAAATTCAAGTTATTGGTATTTTCAGATACCTGAGTATGTGGTCTTTAAAATTAGGGGTCCTTCATTAAAATTGGACATTTCAAGCTTAAGTTATTGGAAAGTGAATGTACAGTACTCCTAAAGTCAAGATAAACATGATTTTGAGGATTATTGCCTTTCAAAGTAATTTATGCATACATTGTTTAATAGAATGAACTGTATAAATAATGTTAAATAAACCATTTGTTGACCACTTCCAGAACTAATACTTAGAGGCATGATTGATAAGACATTAAACTGTTGATCTATAGTGAAAAACAAATTTGGATTTTTAGGCAATTTTTTGAGCTCCCATATTTTAAAGCTCATTTACTCAATACTGGCCTGTGCGACAACTTAACCATTGTGCCACAACATGCCTCACATAATTAATAACGGGCACGTCTAAAATTTCCACATGGAATTGGGGACCCATAAAGGCCCCCACACTCAGAAAGCCACAGGGCCCCTGGCCCCATTGTTACGCCACTGCTAAGAATATACTGCCTATTAATAGTACTGTATGAATTTAAACTTTTAATACGTTACAATAATGATCAAATTACAATTTTTATTATGTTTGTTGGCATAAGGAAAATCGGTGCTACAGTACTGTACTCACCAAAAATATACCTTCATGTACAAAACATAGCATTTTTAAACAAGTTACTTTAATGGATAGAATATGGCACTGCATATAAATATAAATATGAATATGAAGGATTATGGATATTATTTTATTATTTGTAGGCCTACCTCTCAAAAATGTGTTGACACAAGATCATTGTAGGGATTACTTTTTCTCCTAATCATATTAAAAAATATCATCATCGGTATTCTGCTTATCGCAGATCCTTATATGAGTTAGTTCCTCATAGTTTCCTCCATTCGATGCAATCTTTAATGCAGCGTAGCCACCCAATTCTAAATCATTCAATAATCCTTTCTTCTTCTGGAGTGGAGTTGAATAACTTGGTGGTTAAGATTTTGATTTCCAATCCCATGGTTGTTGGTTCAATTTCTGTTACGGTACAGGATTGTTTGCTCACGACCAAAACAGCTACCCCTTGTAAGAAGACTTACTCTATGTAGGGCAGTATGTTTGGAGTTTGACTTGTGATGGGATTGCTACTTTGAAGAGCATAGCCTTTGCCCAGTGCCTAAATCCCTTCTCTTCCCTTCCAATCTTCCTTTAAAAAAAAATAAATAAAAATAATAATAATAATAATAATAATAGGCATCTAGCTATACTGAATGAGATGACTGGCCTTCATGACACTGCCACTGATCAAGAGACACAAGAATATTGTTGACATATATAGTATGCATAATTTCAAGAGGAATCCCCCCCCCCAAAAAAAAATATGTATATGAACAAGAAGAAAGAATGCAATTACAAATGCGAGGGTGAGGCTAGTGACAGCTGATAGTCGCATTTGATATTCACTCAGGCTTATGTCAAGATGGCTGTAAGTAGTGAAAATAATAGAATTGGATTTCCATTGTAGCATAATGATGTGTTCACTTGTATTGATGGTAATTAAAGTTGGTTGGAAAATGAATGCACTCAATCAATATGTATTTGGCATAACACTGTTGCATCTGGAAATGTGTATTTTCATTTCCTTGCTGATCATATATAACCTTCTATTAACATTATTAAGACAACTACGCTTATAAAGTGCAATCATACAGCTATAAAGGTGCAATAAATAAAAAATACACTGCCAATAAAAAAATAAATGAAAACCTCAAATAAAAATAAAAATAGCTATCAACTTTCATTAAGTCACAGATCAAATAAAAAGTAAATTAGTTTTTCAAATGAGTTTTACAACAAAAATATTTAAGTTGAAGTTTATTTTGTACTAAGCGAGATTTTCTTTTATTCCTTGTTTCTCAAACCTTTTTTGTAAAGATCATCAGAGGAAGTGGGGGGGGGGAGTGGAAAAATAAAATGTTTTCTTATTTAGCAAATAGTTTTGCCAAAAACATCCAGATGAAGAAGAAAATGAAAATGAAATGTTATTGGTGAATGTAAACATTGTAGTAATGGGAAGGTTAAGTGCTAATAATATAATTAGGAAGAAATATACATATCTTATGTTTGGCGGTGGTAGGTGTAATAAAAATAAAGAAAAACTTTTTTTTCTGTAATTTCCATTTTTCGTGGAGGCAAGTGTGTGAATTGGTAAAAAATAAAATTTTATTTTTATTCAAAATCATTATTAGTGGGTGGCTTGTTTGCTAAACAAGGTATTAAAAAAAAGTCTTGTAAAAATATTCTATTTGGAGTACAGCGTGTACAGTATTTAGATTTACTGTGGGATGGTTTATATCTGAAAGAACTTGTGTCTCCTTTGCTCATGATTCCAATTTTTATTCAATTAAAAAAACAATTTTTAAAATAAATGTATAAACATTTAGATTTTTTAATCGTGTTCATCTTTTACAAAGCAGTTACGAAGTTGATCATCTTTGTTTTTATATTCAATTTATAAAATGTTTTATTTTTATATTTATTGCTGTCAACTTGAAACTGATTTTCTTTATTACATTTGAATGAATGTATATGTTGTTTTTGGAGGTAGCATACCACTAAGTGTTAGGCCTAGTGATTTATTTGCTTGGGTTGCCCTGAGTATTAACTTTGTTTTGTAAGTTGTCTTTGGGCCAAAAGTAAAATTGTTTTAACCTATGGATGAATATCAGCTGTATTGCAGACCTATTAAAGTACTTAATAATAGTCAGAAAGTGGGCTTTAATATAGACACGACCCTATCAATTTACAGTACAAGAATTAGAGATAATTATTCTATGTCCTAAACTGTTGTAGCAAGTAGCATTCATTGTTATATTCTTATTTATATAAGGCTGTTTGATATTACTGTAGTATTATAAAAATTTACTAGAATAATTTTGAATTACTGTACTAATTTTTTTAATAAAAAAATATATATATAAAGAGAGAGAGTTTTGTAAGTATCTTAAGTGGAGGATGTTGTCACATAGTGAATAG